GCCCCAAACTTAATTCAGATTATTTAGGAGGCGGGGTTTGACCGAGCCTACCAGGACCAATACGGCTGAGTGGGAGACAATATCCCAGAAGAAAGACCGAGATACTCGAAACAATTTTCTCTTCCCCTTTCCTCTTCTACTCACCCTTTATACATGTTGGAGAAAGTCGGGGTATGGTGATCTTTTTTTTTCGTTTTGTTTGTTTGTTTGTTTGTTTGTTGTTTGGTTGTGTGTGTGTGGGGGGGGGGGGTCAACTCCATAGAAGGGTACAGAACATAAGCGCCAACTTTACAAAATTACCGAAACGTTACACGCTACAGTCGAACCTTCTCTAACGGCCACCCGTTAAAGTGGTTTTAGCGCCGCTATCAACACTACAAGTGGTTTTTTAAGAGGCGGGACCTCCGAATTTAACGTCTGTCTCCGATAAGACCGACTCAAATGGGCTGAGAGCCTTGAAAACTCCCCCCCCCCCAAAAAAAAAAGACCCGAACCCCAGATCGTCCAGTCTGGGGTTCGAACAATGGCCACTTTTTGCCTCGCGGTCCAGCATGACGATACTAACTGAGCTAACGGAACTTCCTTGTTTACTTTTTCTGATATATGTGAGTGTGAACACTCTGTCGTCCAGTTTTGCAACACTTATTGTGTGACGCAGAGGCAGAAGATTTTGTATTCTGTATATTTTATTATAATGACACTGTTGTTCGAGACGTTCACCTGTCTTAGACAACCACTTGTCTCCCCGACAATCGGTGGCTGCATTGGACAATTTCAACTATATAAAATGTTGTAAATTGGACAGAAGACCGAAACAGGAATAATTGGGTTTTTTTATTTTTTAGTAAGTAAGTAAGTAAGTCAGTCAGTCAGTCAGTCAGCCAGTCAGTAAACAAGCAAGCAAGCAAGCAAGCAAGCAAGCAAGCAAGCAAGTAAGTAAGTAAGTAAGTAAGTAAGTAAGTAAGTAAGTAAGTAAGTAAGTAAGTGTGTTTGATATCCCTATCAATGATCAACACCGTCTCCGATAAGACCGAGTCAAATGGGATGAGAGCCATGAAAACTCCACAAAAAGACCCAAGCTCAAGAACCTCCGTTCTATATTATTATAATGACACTGTTCAAGACGTTCACCTGTGCTAGATAACCTCTTTTCTCCCCGACAATCTGTGACTGCATTAGACAATTTCAACTGCACACAAGTATATTATGTAAGGCAGAGTGGTGGAATCAGGCTCTCGTCAAAATCATCAAAGTGAAGAAACTAACATTTTCCCGCAGGTTTGTGAATTTTCATCAAATTTTTGTTTTTGGGCTCAACTCCTTTCATGCCCATTAAATAACTCATTTCTGTGAGGATTTTTCTGAAAAATATTGATTAAAGGCACAAAAGATGTAAATTTTCAGTTACCATGGACCCTTAAACTAAGGAAATAACTAATCTTTGGTTGGCATTTTCTCACTAGTTTTACATCTGAAAACAGGTGACCCCCACCTCCTTCATTCTCAAATATCTCGACTTGTATTTAAGGTAAACGGATATTTTTTTCATCCAAATAAAGATAAGTGAACAAGCTTTAAGATGATACCAATAACTCTATGTGCCCAAAAATTGGCGAGAGCCTGATTCCACCACGCTGCCTCATGTAGTAAATATGTATTTATTCTGTACATTGGACAGAAGCCCGAAACAGGAGCAATTGTTGACTTTTCCTGATGTGTGTGTGAGCGTAATGTGGACTGTGTAGTTGACTCACTCTGTCCAGTTTTGCAACACTTATCTACGCGACGCGCGATGGCCGAGACATCCTGCCGCTCCCGTGAGTGGGCGCGTCACCCTGACACAAAGTTGGGTCTGAAACACACCGGAAAGTGACACTTGTTGGACTTCTAACGTCCAAAACTCCATCACGTTATCTCCCAAACTCATCACATTACCCCGTCTTGACGTGGTTTAAGAAGTGTTCGCTAACCGCGCGTCGGTTGTTACCATTACCAATATACCGTGCGTATTTCCTCCTTGATATTTACAAACGCAATCCTCTCCTCGCTCGTCTTTGCTTAGGACGGCGCCTATGTCGGACATTTTGTAAACAGAAGGTAAGAATGATGTGTCACGACATGTAAGAATCAGACGCTTGGCAATTTTTGAGCTTGCAGAGTTACTGGTATCATCCTAAGTCTTGTTTATTTGTCTAATTGTTTTGCTTTCGATGGAAAATAGAATACCCACCGATCATAAATCTTGAAATATTTGCGATTGAAGGAGGTCGCCTAAGGTACACTTTGCAGGAAAATGGCCCCCAAAGTTTGGTGACTTCCAAATATTCAGTGTCCTTGGAAACAGCAAATTTACATTTTGTATGCTTTTGATCAACGTAAAATCTACACTGAAAATGTGTTTTTAAAAGAAGATTAAAATTGTTGTGTCAAAATAAAAGAAAAACAAATCAATAAAAATTGCCAAAAGGACGAGAAAATGTCTGGGTTTCTTTTTAATTCATTGTTTTGACGAGCGCCTGATTTCACCACGATGCTATACAGATCATTTCATCAGTTGGCAGAGCCAAACTGCAGAGATGAGAGATGACATGTAAAAATGCTTGGAACAGTTTGAAATTGCTCAGTAGAGACTTTCTGTCTAAACCATAGGTCATTGTCTGTGTGGTGGTGGTGGAGAAAGACAAGCGAAGGATGTTTCTACGAGTCAGGAAATAGCTCTGTATGTGGTCAGATGGCGATTATTACAAGGATTTCATGCCCACTGTTGGATGTTTTAGCTATGACTTGTGATGGTACATTATCAATTTAGCTGTGACTTGTGATATCATAGAGCCACAGGTAATTTTTTTGGGGGGTAAGTGTTTTACGGCGCCTGCAACTGCATAAGGTCGTCGTATGAGTGCGCAGGACACATTAAACATTTTCAGTTGAAGGTGCAAAAAAGAAGTGTTACACAATTTGCTTGTGATAGTAAATTATGAATTTAGCTGTAACTTGAGATATTATAAAGGCACAGGTATTTTTTTTTATTTGGTAAGTGTTTTACGGCACTCGCAACTACATAATAAGGTCACATGAGCGCACGGGACGCATTACACACTTTCAGTTGGGAGATATCCCCCAAAAAATGTTACACAGTGTGTAGTTTTAAATATGTAGACCCACTTTCATGGCTACTTTCCTGAGCTCTAACCGTATTTTGATTGTATCCCCTTGAATGCGTTATATGTATCTCTTACGTCTCGTTAATTCGCCGCCCAATGCTGTGTAAATGTACTGGCTGAACTCATGTCTTGTTTCGATATTTTCATCTGCTATTGCCGTTGTATATTTGTTCCCTGGGTTTTATGCACCCCGCATATTTTAGCAAAATTTGGTCTTTTTTTTGGGGCATAATTCCTGATTATTTTCGTTTATTATTCTTTGTTAAAATTAACAGAATCGCATAATTTCACATTTTGGGCTCAGTTTGCATAATTTCAGAATATTTTTTTGGCATAAAACCGCAGAGACAGGTACATTGTATGAGATACTTTGGAAACTAACGTGTGTTTTTCTTATCTATCTATCTATCTATCTATCTATCTATCTATCTATCTATCTATCTATCTATCCGTCTTCTCTCCCCTCTGCCTGTCATGTTTCCCTTCTTGCCGTTAGAACTACTTTCGTTTCAGGCCCTTCTGAAGAACGAAAAGATACATTAATAGATTATAACAGAATGCTCTTTTGTGAAAAAATGATATAAAAGATGAGGAACCAAAAGGCACACTGAACATTCTACAACAAGTAGTTATTTTCTGTTTGTTACTGTTTTGCTTGTTGTTGCTTTTGGTTTTGTTTTATTTGTTTGTTTGTATGTGTGTTTGTTTGTGCGTTTGTTTTGATTTGGGGGTGAGTATTGTTGTTGTTGTTGTTGTTCATTGTTCAGTACAACAGCAAAAACAACAACAACAATAGCAACAGCAACAAGAACAGCAACAACAACAACAACAACAACAACAACAACAATAACAGTAACAAGAATAACAACAATAACGTTACCATCAAAGACAACAACAACAACAACAACAGCAGCAGCAACAAAACAACAACAAAACAAAAACAACAACAGCAAGATCTGTAATTTTTGAAAAACTTTTAAAAGTGACGTTTCCTTCTTTTTTTTTTTTTTGGTCAGATATTCCGAGTGGAATTTGACAGCGTTCTCAGAACATAACCCAAGCTTACGACAACAACACTCCTGCTGGGAAACTCCGTTTTCATGCCGGATACCTAAAATGCTGCAACAATCAAGGTCCCTGTGACAAATGATATCGTCAACTTGAGCACTTCTCTCTAACGAATAGTCTGTGGTTTTTCCAGACCGTCAAATAGCCATCGCAAAGCAATTGAGGTCGTTGGGCTGTGTCCAGTACTGTATGGATACTTTTCTGGAGGCCCAACGAGTTGTTTATTTCCATTTTAGAATGGCGTAGATTATATGATATCTTAAACACGTATTACCAAATCTTCAGCACTATCACAAACGGTGAAGGACCGTGCTTTTCTTGAAAATGACAAGCATTTCAGACGTGAACGCGTATTTTTTGAGACGCTCACTATGGCCTGCTGTGTCATACACCATGTTTCTGATGCTGTCTGGTCTCCTTGGCAACGCGCTGGTGCTGATCGTGTACCGTCGTCACTTCCGGCACAGCGTGACCCGGATGTTCATCTATTCTTTGGCGCTCCTCGACATTGCCAACTGCCTCATCACGATGCCTTCTGAGCTTATCGTTCTCATCCAGTTTGCCTCTTTCCCGTCTCCAGTTTGGTGCAAGCTCAGCAGATACCTCACCTACATTCTCAACGGGAGTTCTTCCGTTCTGCTCATCGGGATTGCTGTGGATCGATACTACAAAGTATGTCACCCCACCACAGTGTTCATAACCATCAAGCGTGCTCGCATCATATGCTTAGGGGCTTTGCTCTTTAACGCATTGTTAGCTCTCCCGGCTTTAGTGTTATATGGAGACATGACCTTGACATTGCAGATTATAGATAATGAAGTAAGCGTTTTGGGTGTCGAACAAAAAGATTATAATAAATCTGCAACGACTCTCCCTGACCACGTAAAAGAAGGCGTTACCCTTCCGTACCCCATCCCTCACAAAGCGGAATATATCGTGGGTCATTTCTGTCTGATTAAGAACAGCTACATCAACACCGTTTACCCGATCGTATTTTACGCCTCCATGTTTTCTCTATATCTGGCCCTGGTCGTTGTCGTCATCTTCTCCTACACACGGCTGGCACGGACGATGTACCTTCTACGACAACGCCACGACCGAATGTTTTCTTTCATCCGATATTACAAGGGCTCCAACTCCGCCATCCCTGAGCCCAGTGGCCATGGGGAAGGGGCTGCTGATAGACCCGCTGTTGGCGAACATCAAGACCAGGATCATTACGAGGACAGGTGCTCTGTTAAAATTGGAGGTGGGCAATTTCTCACTCTAGAAGAATCAAATCTGAACGTTGACGGAGAAGCGGGATGTGTGAGAGAAGAGCAAGAGGAGGGACATCTGGCAAAAGTGTCTCAGGATGGGATTGCCGCTAAAGATGAGTCCGCTCAGGGAAAGAACGAGGCCCTTAATCCAGGATCTGGAGTCGAAAAGGCAGAAATGTCCACGAATATCGAACATCCGAATAGTGAGATGGAAGACAGTGCAATGAAAATATCACAGGGACAGTCGGAAAAGCCAAAGGAAGAGGTGCATACTAAAAACTATCAAGAGCCTGCGGTGAATTCTATTCCTCAAGATCGCCAAGCGACTGGTCTAACGGCCGTATGCAAACCTGAAACAACAGTTGCCAACGGTACTAAAGGAGGCCAAGGCTACTCAGGTCAGGTTCCAAGGGTTAGAGTGCACAAGCCTTCGAGAACAGAGAGCAAAAAAGAGTTCACATTTCCTAGTCTAGCATGTGAGAACAGCTTATTGATGAGGAGAATCCACAGTATGGAGAATGTCCGAGGTGTCATGGCTCAGCCAGCGCTCAGCTTGTCCCAACTTGACATCGAACATCGACAGAACGGAAAGTTTTCCACGTCAGACAAGAACAAACCGGGCCCGATGCGCCGGAGGGACTGGCAGTCTCTGGACGCACTCCGGCCACACGCCTTGAACGTCACGACAAGCTACAGCGTGGACATCGTGGATGGGGATCCCGAGAGACAAGATCACTGGAGCCCTGGGAACACGGACGTGAAGACGTTGACATTGACGAGAAGATCTCCGAAAGGAAGCAAACATCTGTGTGTCTTACCCCTCACTGGACTCTCCAGTAAAACTGCTTTACATGCGCTGGAGCAAAATGACCAGAAAGACGGTCATGTGGTTATTGATTCTTGCCAAAGAGGTGTTGTAGTTGACGCAGACGAGATAACGCTGAGAACGAAATCCACGAGTCCTCAGGGAATGCAGAAGAAGTCGCCTCAGAGTGACCTGAAAACCCCTGCGAGTCCACGACGAGAGGTCATCAGCACTGCAGACCTTCTCAAGGAGCAGCACCGAGGGAATGCACTTCACCCATTCCGAACGAGCAGAATGCTCTTCATTATCTCCCTTGTATTTGTGGTCAGTTTTTGCCCGTTCTTCATTATTGCTCTGATCAGATCCGCGCAAGGAGCGTCTTTCACTGATTTATTGGGCGAGACAGAGCTAGCCGTTGTGTCTGTTCTCATTCGCTCGTCTCTAATCAGTAACGCGGTCAACCCGATCGTTTATGGATTTCTCAGTACTCATTTTCGCAAAGAATGCGTAGCTTTGTTCTGTAACCTTTTCCGGAAACAAGGGTCATAGTTACTATACAATCAATGTCTTTGTCATAAAAAGGTGGAAGCTTGTTGCAGGCTTGTGCTCTAAGCGAGTAAATTGCTTGTTTTGCTGTACACATACTTTCAAGTGCTCTGGAATTGTGTGGGCCTATTGTAGCCTACATGAAAAACGTATTGATCTTCATACAAGAACATCGGGCTGTTTCTTTCATAGTTTTGAAATTTTCAGTCTTTCTGTTGGGGTGCTGTATCCATCTCAGCCCGCGTTGGCCCTGACACTGACAGGCAAGCTCAAAGCCCTCCTCTCAGATTCAAATGACATAAATTGTCTCAATGGGAGATAGATACTCTTTAGAAATTTTCTCCCACTTGGGTCTCTTGTATTTGACAGCAAAGCACTTAATTGCTCAAGCACATACTGTACGTGGTTTGCCACCTCGAAAAGCATTATGGTATCGCCGACTTACATGCATTTCCAAGAAAAGCATAATACGAAGAATACGATTACATCCGTCCCAGGTGATCCCCAACGGTCCTCAAAACTATCAAATCGACCACAAAAGGGGGATATCGCCCTAAAGTTGACAATCACTGTAGTAGAATAACAACACCATTCTATGTCAGTTTTCATGTGAAAGCGCTTCTTTCCTGTAGTTCTTCTATGATTTGTTGACCCATAATACAGAAACCTGGTTATGTACAGTTAACACATAATCGTTATGTTTATTTATATACATTGTAGCATGTATGAGAATGTGGGCCTGTTTGTGAGTGCAAGCACAATATGAATATTAAGTATGTGTCTGTGTGTGTGTGTGTGTGTGTGTGCGTGTGTGTGTGTGTGTGTGTGTGTGTGTGTGTGTGTGTGTCATGGGCGGCTCGAGGGTCTAAAAAGTGGAAGTGCACATTAGGTTAAAGCAGGTTGAAGATAGTCAAGGGCATGTAAATTAGATGTTTTCTTCATCCTACCTGTTTTGAGAAAATCTATTTGAAGAAGAAGCTTTCCTTTCGTTCTTTGGCTGGAGCAAAAGTGTTCATTACTATGTTGACGAAGTTGGACATGCTGCCAATGATGTCCTTGTGGATCGACATAAACGTACGTCAGTGCGATTTCTGGTATTTTGCATACTTCTCTAAATGTTGTCTCGAATTTGTAGTCCTTCAGGGTTGAATAAAGGCCCTGGACTATACATGTACGACACTGAGGAGATTTAAATATTTCATTGCAATGTAATACTTATAATTCTGTTTGTAATTTGATTTTAAGCAAAACAGTAATATTTCTGTAAACGATCCTGAAAGAAATGTTGGAAACGACTTTTGATACTCCCGGAATTTGGATGAATCGCAGATTGAGAGTGCATTGATTTTATTTTGCTTCTAGAAACTGTCACAATTTGAGTAGATCTAACTATTATGTCACAGGCCTGCTTTGCAGCAATTTCGTTGGTGTTGTTGTGTTTGCATCTCTTGGAAGCGTGTTTCTCTGTTGTCTGTCTTGTTGATGGAACAAGTATACTGTTTCTCATTTCATCAACAGCTACTTTAAACGTATCTAGAACTTGTTAGGCTGCTATGGGTGTTGTACTTCTGTGTTAGAGGATCCCATAAACAGCGTCAACGTGTGTGTATACTTTGTTCAAAAACTGCAAAAAGAAAGAGAAATGTTTCGCTCTTTAATCTGTCCCCGTACGATTATGCGATTGTGCGGCCGCGTTTTTTCGCGTAATTCTGTAACATTTGCATAATTTTGGATTACCCGCGTTTTTTCCACGTTTTTACCCCCTTCTGTTCACAAAACAATTAATGAACGCTTCGCCATGTGACTAAAGGGAAGTAATCACCGTAATAAGTCTCATTTTAGTTTTAAAAAGCTGGTTATTTCCCTTGTTAGAAGATATTGGTTATGGGTTGGGATTTTGTCCCTTGAGCATGTTCAATTTTTAAATCCATTTAAAAAAGTTGTTGTTCTCATGTCTTCTGATGTTTCATGTTTGACAGGCGTCCCTGGTTTTAGTAATGTGCAGGATCAGAGGTCAACATGCCCTTTTTCTTTTTTTCTTTTTCTTTTTTTTTTACATTTTTCTTTCCTCTATAGAGATCTAGATCTCTAGATATTAGATCTACAGCTGAAAGTTACAGAGATTATATCTTTTGGTTGTTGTTTTTTTCTGACTGGTGTGTATTTTTTTCTTTCTAAATACACAACAAATTACTGATATGTTCTGTTTTCAATTTTTCAGTACATAAAACTTGAAAATCATGAAAATTCTTGCTGAAAAAGTGCAAAACATGTCGCGAATGGTGTTATGGTAACTTGCATAATTTTTGCATAATTTTGCTTTTTTGTGCATAATTTGTTCATCTAAATTTGCATAATTCTACGGGGACAGTTTAATACATTCAGGATACCATCGTGAATGGAATAATCGTCCCAGTGCTCAGACTGATTTTCTTCAAGACAGAGCTGGATCTATCCTTCCAAATGAAAACTAATTAGTCGAGACTGTAAATTCCACCTTGTTTCAGACGGCCATGGAATATTCCGGTGACAAATGCAGATGCATTTTGTAGAGTGGGCAAAAAATGTCGAAGAGCCTGCATAGCATTAGCGAAAAATACCTCAGTTCCCCGACAAATGACCGCGAAGGGCGAGTTCGTGAGTTTCACAGGACAAAATACACTAGATAACCTTACACAATACGTGCCTGTTCTTTCTCGCCAGTTCTTTATTGTGAGACGTTGCAATGCGATGACCTACGACTAGCTGCGCTGCTATGTCTACTTGTCCGAAAGTATGATACTTAACGGCATTTTTTACCTGCGCTCTTGATGACTTTCGACTTTAATGCGTTGTTTCACACGGACAAGATCAGTAAAACCTGTCTTAGACTACTTGGGGTCCTCAGTTCCAAAAAGCAGACAGGAGAAACAGTAGGCCTAATCTAGGTCTACAAGGAGTATAGTTTGTTGTGTAAGCCACTCCACTTTTTATTCATTGTACTATTTCGATATTTTTAGTTTGGTGAGGACTTAATTCATTCACTCTCTTCTTTTTACTTTGTTTGGTGAACTGAATTTATTTGCAATCAACTTCATTCATCCTGCATTGGAATACGCACTCGAGTAATAAAACTACCACCACTACACCATTCCAACTTCTAACACAATGACCTAATTACGTCATGTTGACCTCGCTCAAGTTCAGGGTTACAGAGGTGGGGCTAGAGATATAAATGGCAAGACAACGGACCAATCGCACATCGCTGGGAGCACTCCGGTGGATTGCTCCAAAGTATCATAGGCCTAATACGGGCATTGAATTCTGTAGGCTGTCGTGAACTGGTTTGAGATTGCGTTATTTTTAGACTGCTTCTATGGGCTTTGTTCGGCTGGTGCACATCGAGATTGTGCCGCCTTATTAATATTTATGAACTAAGAAACTCAGTCAAAACGTCATCTTTGTTTGGGTCGTCCCATAGAGCATTTCCCGAGATAGATTACACCACTGAACATACTATTTTTTACTTGGGTGAAGCAAAAGAACTTGGTAT